CCCCTGGAAATTAATTTTTTTTAAATTTTAATAGCAGTTACTCATCGCCCCCAAATGCACCTGTGGCCATCACCGCCCCCCTGGATCGCTGCAGCGCCCACCGGGGGGCGGTAGCGCCCACTTTGGGAATCACTGGGTTAGAACGGCTTGGAGAACGGCTCCAGTTTCGTGACCTGCACCGGTTTCCGGGTGGCCAGGCCCCTTCCTCACCCTCCTGGGGGAGCCCAGGGCTTGCAGGGAGGACAGAGGTGCCACGGTGGGTCTCTGGGCTCATGCTGCACCCACACACGGGGAGGCCGGAGCCAGGCCATCGCTGGCCGCTCACCCTGGGTTCTCCCCCTTCTGCTTCCGACAGGCTGTTCTGGAGTGAGCGGAAGATCACCAAGGCCAGGGTGGTTCCACCGCACCGTGAAGATCGACTCCGACCTGGGGGATGCCTGGGCCCTCTTCTACAAGTTTGAGCTGCAGCACGGCACAGAGGTCTGCACTCGGGCCAGGGGGCAGGGGGCAGGGGGCAGGATGCGGACAGCAGCTCTGCTGACAGCTTTTCCTCTGCAGCTGTCTCCTGGTTACAGTTCTGTAGCCTCACAGCCTGAAGTGTAGATGTAGCATCTCTTGGCTGGTGATGGGGTCATGGTAGAAATGAGAATGGATTCCGAGCCCTGAGGATTGTCCTTGTGCCTCCGTGGGTCTGACTTCCCAGTATGGCTTCCAGGGGAGCCTGGGCTCACAGGGTGGGGTTGCCAGGCTATCTTGGGGTGCCCACGAGAAGTTGACTTTGCCTTTGAGGGAAGCAGGAGCTTGACTCTGCTGTGCATCTGGGTCAAGGCCTGCCCCGAGGTCATCTGTCTGGTGGGGTGGGGTGCAGTGGGGGCTGCGGTGCACGGTGGGACAGGTGCAGAAGAGCCTGGGAGGAGCCCTGTCTCAAGAGCCCTCTGGTCCCCCCCAGGAGCAGCGGGAGGAGGTGAGGAGGCGCTGCGAGAACGCCGAGCCACGGCACGGGGAGCTGTGGTGCGCCGTGTCCAAGGACATCGCCAACTGGCAGAGGAAGATCGGGGAGATCCTCGTGCTGGTGGCAGCCCGCATCAAGAACACCTTTTGACTGGGCGGTCCCTCTGGGCCAGGGTCTTGGGGCGGGTGGGCCAGTGTGCCTGCTGCCATGTGAGGACGGGGGGAGGGGCCCAAGCAGTTTCTGCTCTGGAATTAAAGTTTTTCTAGGTAGCGTGTAGGTTTGGTGACCTGCTGGTTTTCTCTGGGGCTCCTGGCGTGTGCTTCTGTGCACCAGTCTGGTCTGGAGGGCTCGTCGCTCTTGTGTGCAGGGAGGCCTCTGAGAGAGGACGGTGACTCAGCGAGACTGTGTGGGGAAGGTGGTAGGAAGTGCACCTTCGCTGGTGACTCGTCTGTCCCCTCTGGAGCCTGCAGCTCCTCTAGAGGGGGGCACCAGATCACAGGTTCAAGTTGGGGTGGGGGGATGGCTTCCATGAGTCTGAGCGCACACAGCCACATCCTCAGGTGCCTCCGAGAGCCAGTGCTGAAGGGCACCTGGGAGGCCCTCAGCTGGTGTTGGAGGAAGATGTCGCCGTGAGAGAGGTTCGCACATTTGCAGGTGGACTTGCTTTTGCTGCTTTGTACTCAGCAGAGCTCCGAAAGCTTTTGCCGCTGTCCTTCTGTACGCTGAACAGGATTTACCTGGGACACTGGCAGGTGAGCATGAAGGACCTCCTTAGGCCCTGCAGGGAGAGGCAGGTGGCTGGGCTTGCTTTCCTTCCATCTCTTCTGGACGAGGCGGGAGGTCTGCCCGGGGCCCTGCAGACAGAGTCCTGCAGCTTCTAGGAGCTCATTCGTCTCTGTGATGTGGAAAGCAAGGCCCAGGGAGGGACAGTGACTGGCTGTGGCCACAGGGATGTGGGTGGCCTTCTGCGCCCCAAGTGGGGCGTGTCTCCTGGGCACCTCCTCTGGCTTTGATGTCAGGTGAGGCTTCCTGCAGGGCCCTTGGAAAGTTCCAGAGCGTCAGGATTATCCACACGTGAATGTCTTGGGGGTTGCTTTCTCAAGTGCTTTGAGGTACATTATTTTTCTCCTTGGGAAAACACTTCAGCTTTTCTTCAGCTGACATTTTTTCAACTACAACTTCCGGCGAGTGGGTTCCAGAGGCTGTCCCTATCCTTCGGGCCAGGCGGGGTGCTGTGGCCCAGCCAGGAGGGGCAGCAGCTGAGTGCTGGACCAGCGGGAAGTCCCACGCCAGGGACCTGCTGGGGCAGGACCCCTGGGCGTCAAGTGTGGGGCTGGCGTGGTGGGGATAAAGTCCCCCTTGCTGGTTCTGTCGTGGCCAGGTTCCTGGGAGAGCACTGCCAACCTCAGAGGGAGACCCAAATGCGGGGGCGGGGGGGATGGCCCCCCACTTCCTTGGCTCCCCTTCCCCACCTGGCTGTACTGCCCACTGGGCACCCCACCCCCTTTGGGACAGCACATGTCTGTGGGGCTGGTGACTCAATCCAGGACCCACTGGGTGGGAAGAGAGCCCAGCACTGCTGGGTCCAGGGTCAGGTTAATTGGAGAAGCGATTGGATACGGAGTTGGGAGAGGGAGGGGGCAGGCTGGGATCCTGGGGCCTCCCTCCTCCCTCCCTCCTTTGCTGGAGGAGCCAACTTCAAAAGCCTTGTCCGCCTGCCGCCAGCCCAGCCACAGCCGCCCTGCTGCAGCCCGTCCAGGGAAGCCTTTGGCTGGGGTTGGTTGGGCTTGGAGCCGGACCTGGAGAGCTTTCCGCACCCCACCTGAGGACCCCAGGATCATGTTGGAGACTCACAGGCAGGAGTGAGGGAGGGCCTGACCCTGAGAGGCCCATGGTGAGCAGCTTTGGGCCCAGGGAGGGGACTCACATGGCCCAAGGGCTGGGAGGTGGAAGCAGGCACCGCCCAGAGGCTGTGTGATCCTCGGCACCGACCGGCCAGGACCGACTGGGAAAACCCCCCTTGGGTGGCCACGGAGCCTGGCCCTGTGCGCTCGGGCCGCAGGTGCTGGGCCGAGCCTTTCCCGGCAGTGTTGGGGGCAGGGAGTCTGCAGGGCTGGGCTGAGCCTTGGGCCCTGTGTGCGCACGTGCATGTGTGCCTGTAGGGGGGACGGGACAGACGGGCCTTCTGAGGATCCCTAGGCAACAAACATGACCACTTGGATGTCCCTCCTCCAGTACCATCTTGTTCTGTCACCATGCTCTGACCCACAGCAGGCAGAGGGGCGATTCTGGGTTGGCCATCCTCCTGCATGCCCCAGGATTGAGAAGGGGCACGGCTAATTGCATCTGCTCCTCCAGCGGCCAGGTGGCCCTTGCAGGAGCCCCGCAGACACCGGGCCTGGGCGCCTGCAAGGGTGCTCAGCCCAGGAGGCTGTCCGCCAGGGCTGGGAAGCGGAGTCGAGTCCTGGTCTCGCTCGGTTCACTTGATTAATTTTCCAGTCGCTGTTGGATTTCATCTTGGGGCCCGAGGGTGGGTTTGGGGGCTGGGAGCTGGAGACAGATCTTTCTTATTGATGTTTGAGTTTGGGGGGGGGGCGGGGTTGGATTTCTACTCATGAGAGCTGCCCCCCCCCCCCCCTTTCGGGGGGGGGGCCC